CCGATAGACTCAAGTATCGCCATCTTTCATTGAATCTAACTAATATCTATCTAATACAAAGTGTACGTGCTTAAAATGATCAGTCTCACATTAGAGTGGAATACCAGCCAAATGCGCCGGCTGACAACAAAAAGTTAAAGACATTAGAACTCCTCCTTCTAGATAGAAACACATACACAATTATGAATACACATTACCATCTGATGTCCGCTTAGACATACAAGAGACTTCGCAAACTTTCATGCATATAGAATTATCCATGGTTTTAATTCATGTAATACATGACTGACCAATGAGAATCGACCTAAACAAAATTGAAAATACCAAAGTTCTTCCTATTTGTCTGTTTTCTCTCGATCTCTGATGAAGCTTTAATAAAACCTGTTAGTTTGATATACACTTTTGTATGTAGCGACATAATTATGATGTGGCTGTTTACATATCTATTTTGCAATGTTTTATATTTTCGAATCGCTTGAGTTTATTCTCTAGTTTTATACTTTAACAATTTTCTTTTCATCTTGTCCACTGTGACTCATCAGATTTGCTAACTATTAACGTGTTGTCTCAAGTATAAACCAATAGTCACCTCGGCCCTCTCGAATAATCATGACCAAATGTTTGCTGATAGACTCAAGTATCGCCATCTTTCTTTGAATCCATTCTTAAAGAATCTAACTATATCTATCTAATACAAAGTGTACGTGCTTAAAATTATCAGTCTCACATTAGAGTGGAATACCAGCCAACTGCGCCGGCTGACAACAAAAAGTTGAAGACATTTGAACTCCTCCTTCTAGATAGAAACACATACACAATTATGAATACGCATTACCATCTGATGTCCGCTTAGACATACAATTCATACTTGATTTTTAACTTCTCAGACTCGAGTATATACATGACAAATTCTTACTTACAGTTTCAAGTATAACACTGACTAGAGCTTACCTAAATACAAACTCGAACAATGTTTTTGATTATAAACACTAACAACATTGATCTATAGACTCAAGTAGAAAAATAATCCAAAAATAAATACAAACTCGAACAATGTTTACCTATATTTTTGATTATAAACACTAACAACATTGACTCAAATATAAAAACAATCCATGTTTACGTTGTAGGGATACGAACGGCGATTATTTCCCTTTGGTTGAGAATATGTCACGTGGGTCATACTAAGGCTGCTTAACGAATTCACCACGGAATGGTTGGTTCGTCTGTCAGCTTCCGGGAGTCAAACGAGCTTTTTTTTTTTTTTTCGTACTCACCGAAGCCATATCTCCCTGGCCTGGACCGAGGTTAAATCTGACTCGATTCGGGGGATTTGCCAAAATGTTAGCTCACAAGCTCATAGCTCCGTCTTCTTTTGTGAATATATCTCCACCAGATATAGAAGTTATCTCTGACTCGCAGCCCTCATGTTAGAAAAATGACTCGTGGTTTGGGAATCCTAAATATGACGACTTCAGAAATACAAATGAATCCTCTGCCAGATCAAATTACTGGTCGAAATTAATACACTTACACTCTATATCTATTTGTCATTTTCACACTGCTTGTTGTTGCAAAACTGTGTTATATTTTCTCTGTGTGGGACCAATGTAAATACCTGTATATAATTTTGTGTATAACGTAGCGGTATAAAATTCTATCTGAAATCAAAATATCTTTGTCGTTGCTTTTCTTTCAATTATTCCGTTTAGTGAAATAAGGTGTTATTATACCATAGATATAATAATACCCATATTGGGGGAAATGCAAAATGTGAGAATATTCCTTTCTTCCATAACGCACGCTTTAGCGTATAGAATAAAGTAGAAACGGAATAAATTCTTATGGCCTCAAGTATAAAACTGAACAAAGTTTACCTCTATATTTAAATATAAACCCGAACAATCCTTACCTATATATATATTTTTTTAATTATAAACACTAACAATCTTTAGGTATAGTCTCGAATATAAAAACGACAAATGTTTACTTACAGACTCAAGTATGAAACGAACAATTTTTACTTATATACCTTTTGTGATGTCAACGAAAACTCGTTGCCACTTTTGTGATGTCAATGAATAATCGTTGTCACTTTCGTAATGTTCGTTGTAGTAGAGACTTTGTGTTGTGGATTCCGGGATGAAATCCGGTTTCAAATGAATGACAAACGCAGGAATGAAATATAGCAAATAAATGTATTGACGTTATAATACAATTGGTAATACGGTTAGTAGATCCAGAAATGCGGTTAGTAGCAAAATAATATATATACAGTCTGGGAAATTCAGTATTGAAGTATGACTTCCTTCTGAGTCTACGTGCTCGCAACTGTGACTCCAACAAAGCGGTTACCTCACACTCTCACTCTGTCACTGTATCACTGTCACTCCCGGGTATTCACCGGCAGCAGTACAAGTACACACTGGGTGAGTTTATTTATATGAAAAAGGGGTGGACCCCTTAACACTTTGTAATCGCAGATACAACTATAGTAACGCTGTTGAACAATTCTGGTGTCAGACGCCTTTGAATAGAACTCGCACTAATGGTTCTTGCTCCATAATACTCGCTGGAATAATAATCTGTATAATGATCCGAATAGAGAAATAGTTTAGTAAACAGAGAATAGCAGTCCGTATAGTAATAGAGGCTAGAATAGACGCGCATATCCGTATTGTATTACATATATGCGTTGCCTCTGTGGTCACGGGATCGCCTGTGCTTGCTCAATAGCGATCTATGTTTAAACTCAAGTGTCGTCAGCGACATTTTATTCCTATATAACAATACCCAAGTATTTATAATGAATTTTTAATCCGACATAATTTCTATATTACTACAGACGTTATTTTTTGTGACTGTAAGTATTTAAATTGATATCTCTGTTTTGTTTAGTATAACTTCTCAATCAAGGTGTCAAAAAAAAAAAAAAGAAAAAAAGAATAGAACACGGACAGCAACTCAAATACGTGTACCCACTAAAAATAACGTTTAATCTTATAGAAAATTTACTCAAGTATAAACTTGACCAATGTTTATTTATATAACCAACCATACATGAAGCATATCTTTTTGTACATTATCTGACTAAAGTGATGTTTACATTTACACATGTGCACGAAGGAGAGGGGACATTGAAAATTTTAACTTTTAAATTTATTTATTTTTTCATAATATTTGTTTGAGTATATTGTCAAGCCATTTTCATTTGTTTTTATCGCTTTGTGTCTTTTTAAAGTAAATTTCATCCCGTACAAAGTCTGCAGGTCACTGGGCTAGAGGTTTACGTTGATTCTAAATCAATCTAGATTTTGTTGTTTGTACAGTAAGGTTCACTCTGTACAATGTCTGCGGGTTACTAGAAGTTGCGTTAGATGACAGTTTGGGAAACAGGAGGGAAAGATACTGGTTAACCCTAGACTTGAACAGGTTTAGATTGTAGTGAACGGGGAAATATCATCTTGGGAGTTTTTTCCACAGAGCATCCGTTCACGGGAAGAAGCTGTTCGAGTGGAACTTCTCAACGACGGAATACGGAGGGAATGTACGTGGTTTTTATTTATTTATTTTTTATCGTTTTTGTTTTTAAGTATCCCATATTGTGATAATAGCAGTTTTGCTAATAAAGTTGAAATCTTGTAAGAACTCGGACGCAAATTTTTTGTGGATGATCTAATGATTAAAGCACTTCGTTATAGTAAACTGTATTCTCTTTTAATGAGAGAAGCATTTTTAAATCGAAATTATTATACAGAGAACAAATAATGAATCAAGAGTGTTGTTCTGAAATAAACACCTTACGTGGTCATATATAAAATTTATTAAAATTCCCCAAGGTAGAGGTAAAAGAGTAAATTTCTCCCACACACACACACACACACACACACACACACACACACACACACACACACACACACACACACACACACGTGGCATGGCACGGCATGGCACGGCACGGCACGGTGGAGTAATGGACAGTGGCTTGGATTGAGGAATCGCAGAGCCGAGTTCGAATTCCAGTCGAATCCATTACATTCACTTACGTGCTAATACCCTTGGGAAAGGTGTGAATCTTCTTCTTCTCCCTCAAGCTGTGGGTAAATAGAAGGACAGACTGGGTTCTATAGCCTTGGATGACAACTGGTCTAGGAGAAGGACAACTCTAAATTCAAAACCTGCGGAGGGTCGTTTGGGGACCTTGTGGCACTTAGTGCACCAGGTCTCTGTATTCGGCACTTCAAAAAGTGTGGATGGTCCTGCACGAAACCTTCACCACTATAATCAAATCTCATGTGCTGTTGTCGGGCTGTCGGTTTCTGGGAACTGATCTGCTTGACCCTCATACGTCGAACTCGAGGGGAGAATCGACTATATATATATATATATATATATATATATATATATATATATATATATATATATATATATATATATATATATATAAGGTTAATGGTCAGACTTGAAACAGACCAGAAGAGAATGGTAGTAAAAAGTGCTCAATACACGTGGGGAAATATAATAACAGTAAACATAACATGCAGAGCTTTTATATTTAAAAACCAAGAGGTCAGTTGGTTTCAAACTTACGGTATCCTCGGGCGATTTTTATCAAATGACCTCTTGACGCTTTATTTAGAAGAAGAAGAAGAAGAAGAAGAAGAAGAAGAAGGAGGAGGAGAAGAAGAAGGAGGAGGAGAAGAAGAAGAAGAAGGAGGAGGAGGATGAGGAGCAGAAGAAGAAGAAGAAGAAGAAGAAGAAGAAGAAGAAGAAGAAGAAGAAGAAAAGCAAGGGTATTATAAAAGTATCAGTGAGGGGTTTCTTTTTTTGGTTATAATAGTTTAGTCACAAACGTATTACAAATTGACCCATGGTTGGGAGTAGACGGGTGTGCCTTCATACCTTTCCCAGGGTTGTTTGCACGTAAGTCAATATAACGAATTCGGGCGTCCGATTAACAATCCCAAGCAATTTTCCATTGCACCGCACACGCATCTAAGCTTACAACAGCTGATATTCCCAAGCATTCAACCATTAAAGAACTGACCAGGCTCGACGTTGCTTAACTTATGTGATCGCACGGGAATAGGTGTTTCAATAGGATGTGGTCATAAGCGACAGACACACACACACAAACACACACACACACACACACACACATATATATATATATATATATATATATATATATATATATATGTGTGTGTTTAAATATAGTGTAATTAGACCGCAATTTTTAATGTCATATTAAAGTATATATTCATACACCACAATATCAAAAATCATGAAAAAGCTAAAGCAATAATAATAGATAGATAGATAAAATCTGTAAAAAAAGTCCCATTTAAAATAGATAGATAGAAATAGAATGAGATAGGTAGATAGATAGATAGATAGATAGATAGATAGATAGATAGATAGATAGATAGATATGTGAAAAGGAATATATTGAGATAGATAGATAGATAGATAGATAGGCGAAAAGGAACATATTGAGATAGATAGATAGATAGATAGATAGATAGATAGATAGATAGATAGATATGAAGAGAATGACATAGCTATGAAGAGAATTAGAAAAAAGAAAGAAAAACAATGAGATAGATAGATAGATAGATAGATAGATAGATAGATAGATAGATAGATAGATAGAGAGAGAGGGTAGGTCGGTAATCCACATGAATAAAACACAACATGGCATACCAAAATAATAGCCTTTAATATGCAAACTAATTATCTTATGTCGGTAAATACTAAAACATCACCAATGCTCACATATGAAACGAGTTGTTCAATTCTTTTATTTAGATTGTCAGTTCGTAATAGATACCTCCACTTAAATCTATCACTGATGTATTATTACAACCGCCATTTTTGCCACTGGACTTTCGTCAACCTCCTTGCAACATATGTTGATGTTTATCTGACATTTGCCTGTCAAAACTTTATTAACTAACACTCCTGAATAATTAATGAACCACTCGGCTAAGCAAATTTTGATACTATGCTAATTGTCATCTACAGCCGATGTAAATGGCTTCCAGCTAAACAGGTCATATATAAGCGGGATGTTCCTGCTTTTATGAAAAGGTTTCCTAGTTCACATGTCAAAAACTAGATGAATAATATGACACCCAACGATGGCCGGTGATAACGTCGATCAAAATGTAAGGATGAAAATGCCAACGAAGCACAGGCGATTAAAAAAGAAAGTACGACTTTTGGCATTATATTTATTTTTTGTTTTATCTAATCGTCTATCGTGGGAGGTGCGATTGGTTTCACAGTTCAAAGAGCCGAAAATGGAAACGGGGATCGGAGTTCAAATTTCGGCTGAAAGCTTTTTACGTTCACTTCAAAACATTTGCCCTTAGGAAGGACATAAACCCATCTTTACTCCCACTACCAGTTGTTCAGGACAAACTCCGCTCACTAGCGATGGTTGTTAACCAGTCTAGGAGAAGAATTCAATATAGAAAGTACACTTATTTCAATTCTTCTTCTTTTGTACCTTCGAGTTGTCTATGGTTTCGTTTCAATTATGCTCATAGTTGCGATAAAACTTTAGACTTGAACCACACTAAACTATCACAGATTAACATACTGAGCTTCACTATTTACATTATTCGGACTATTGTCCTCATCGTTGTCGCCATATTTATTATAACGTTTCGGCCTTTGTACGCTCCGGCCTTCTTCAGGTGGTTGGAATGTCGAATTGAACCCTTTATTTCGCTCACTGGGTTAGACTGTTCCACGTGACATGTCTAACGGATGTCGCTTATCAGTTATCTCCTGTTAATTCCCCTCCCCAAGTTCTCCAACTTCTTAAAACTTTGGGTCCTGTCACTGGATCTAATTAACGCCTTTATCCACTGTGCCATGAGTCCTTGAGGACACATGGCACAGTGGATGACAATATATATGCTCCTGAAAAGTTTATTTCATTTGAGCTCGCTGGGTAGGATGTGTGGGTTTGTAAACAGTGACTATTACGGCTAATAATGCAAAATTCTTCGGTAGATCGAATCGAGTTCTCTCAGTCACTGTGTGTTTATCTAAAAATAAATACGCTTAAATTCACCTTTATCCCTGCCGCGTGCCAACGGCTTAGAAGTGGTTGAATCCCCGATTGACAACAATTCAGTCGCGTTTCGATCCTAGCTAGAGGCAATCGGACGTCTAGCCACACTGATGAGCTGTGATACAGCCAAACAGTCCATCTGTGGATGACTATATATATATATATATATATATATATATATATATATATATATATATATGGGTGTGGCTAAAAAAAAGATCATAGGCTGACTATGAAGGATTGATGCTAGAACTGTGAAATATTGCATGCATTATTTTCATCTGTATTATTTTATTGTACCTTTTATTCAATAAGGTTTTCTCGGTTTATTTCACTGTCATTAACACTTTGCATCATAGTGGATTTATTGCCTTGCTTGGGAGTGAATTTATAAAAAAAAAAACAGTAAAAAATTGAAAATGAATAATATCGTTGATTTTTTTATATTAAATTATTTCACGTGGTTTTACAAAATGCCAAAAAATAAGTGAAAAATGTTCAGAATTTCTGTGAATCTCTTAATTTTAATGGATTATGGGAGATAAGTTTAAGGCAACAATAACAGGAACAGGGAATAAAACCTATACAAAAAAATCACTGAACAGCGGAAAAGCTTCCAAATTATTCTGTATTCTGAATTAATTGCAATGAACACCGAGGTAGGAAGACGATCGAAATTTGACCTTGCTACCGGTACGAATTTAGGTCCTTTTGAAAGAAGCAATTGTCCCCAAAATGCCCCTGCAAATATTTTTATAAAAACTGAATGTGTTGGTATAAAAAGGATATAGGCCTCACTAACTATTTCCGGGAGAAAGTACGATTGTCAAAACAAATGGCCTGTGCTTATATAGAATAGGAATATTATATTCAGAAAATTCATAAACACGTTAAAAAGAAGAAAAAAAAATCTTTGCAGATTGCGCATCTCATAAATTTCCACTCACTGCGCCTGGCGCCAAATAACTTAAAAGCCATGAGAGCCGGTTTCGAATTTCAGCATAGCTGATTTTTCAAGGTAGGGGTGATTTGATAATTTCTGTGCAGAAAATCCAAAGAAAGGTCATTATTAATGTTGTGCGGATTTCGATAAAGTGCTGTACTGTGTTATTTGCAATGATAGACACGGTTCTACAGAAGGATGCTGAGGATACCATGGGCCGAACATGTAATCAACGGCGATGTTTTGGAGAGAATGGAAACAAACAGGAAACTGATTCTTAAGATCAGGAAGAGGCAGTTCAAATTTCTGCGGCACGTAATGAGGAAAGATGGCTTGGAGAATCTGATACTTACAGGACGGATAGAGGGAAAGAGAGGCAAGGAAAAGCAACGCGTGACATACAGTAATGCGGACTTTGCTAAACAGACGCTTCTTTGTGGACAAATTGTTAACAGCACATCAGATCAAATGATTTTTCCCATTAGCGATACAGGTTCGATTCCTGTCGGAGAACAAACTATGAAATTTCTCGAACATTCAGGCCAGTAAATGTAATTAATATTGTTTATTTAAAAAAAACAAAAAAAAAAACAGAGCATTTACTTGAATAAATTGTATCTATTAAAATAAGGCATAAAATGAAAATATGTATACATATATCAGTGCGTGTAACTATTATTTTCTGCAGTATATATATATATTTGGTTGGATAGATGTGAGTTTGTGACCCTGGGTTTCACGCTTTAGCGATCGTCATTGAACGCTTTCTAATATGTACCGCGCATATAATATATAAATAATTATACATATATATATATTTATTTACACTTTTCACATATATATATATATATATATATATATATATTCACGTTATATTCTATTTATATGAACACAAATATTTAAGTAAATGCTCCGTTAATAATAAACAGTATTAACAAAATTTACCGACCTGATTGTCTGACAAGTTTTCATAGAAAATATGCGTCTTCCGACAAGACTCGAACCTGTATCCTCTCTGGAACCGTCATATAGTCTGACACGCTATTCCAGTTTAGCTACAGAAGAGTGTCTTGTTAGGAAAGTCGATCATATTGCTTTTAAAATGATTCGAGGTGAAATCATGGAAAATTGGAGTTTAAAAGCAGTAAAATCGACCCTGCTAACCAGATGCTCCTCTGTAGGCAAACTGGTAGAGCAGGCAAGTATATACGACGATTCCATGTAGGGTACGGTTTCGATTCCTGTCGGAGGACGCATATTTTCTATGAAAATTTCTAGGTCGTTCAGGCCGGTAAATGTTCTTAATACTGTTTATAATAAACAGGGAAGTTACTTAGATATTTGTGTTTATATAAATAGCGTATAACGATAAAATATATTAAAAATAATTGTTGGACTTTGCCCATTTCTTAGAATATATATATATATATGAAAGAGAGAGAAATTTCTTATATATATATATATATATGTGTGTGTGTGTGGATGCAAAGAGGTGAGTGTGATTTAATCTCTTTTTTCTTTTCCCTTTGTATTTTATTAAGAAGCTGTAAACGATTCGTGACACATAAAACGTACACACCCTCTTAAATAAATAAAAAATCTAATGCAGAGAAAACTTTTATCTTATTTATTTATTTATTTATTATACTTCTCAAAATATTCAATTTGTTCCTGCCAATCTTACACTTCCTTTTTTTTCCTTCTTAATTTGGAGAATAATTTCTGGAATTATTATTGGCATGATCCTTGTCATTTTAGAATTGGACACCAAAATTATTCACATATTAAGACTTTTATATCATTTTTTATAACCTTTTTATTCGTATAAATTCCTAGCCTTATTAATATTACATTGTCACGTGACATCACAAGTCTCATAACCCATTAGGATAGTAAAGGCAGCAGGTTTTTCAAAGAACAGCAGCATTCTGCCTACCACAGACAACACAGGGTTCTTGAAAATGACTGAGACTGTTGAAATTACCTGAACAACAAAAACAATACAACATGAACTTCAAACAGTTTACCAACAATTAATTAATTACCTAAACAAGCATATCCGGTCTCGCTTCCAATAAACGTT